AGCAGACTCAAACCTGGCAATTATTCAGCGTTTTCAATCTAAAACACTACGTATGATCACAAATGCACCTTGGTATATAACTAATGAACAGCTGCATAAACAATTACATGCTTTTAAAAAATTACGCTCATCGCATATATATGCATCCACAGCCGCTGGTTACACACCTGATGTCCCCTTTCAACACTTTTACAAGGCTGAGAAGGAAAACATCTAGAGATATTTTAGATATGTATATGTAAATCACACACTGTTACTTTAAATATATATGGATATGTCACTGGGCATAGTCCATACGTGTCTTTCTTTTTCAGATTGTAATAATTATTATTACGATTTATAATTATACATTATTACTTATTGTCATTCATACCAGACAGATTGTAATAAAATAAATGGATCTCAAAAAAAAAAAAAAAAATTTACTCTGTTTCATGTTGAACTTAAAGCAGCACTCATCAAATAGAATAGGCATCGCTCCTTTTTCGTTTGTGAGTGCCGCTGCCGTGGTACTGAGAGTAATCTTTTCGCTTTTACGAAGCAAGCATGTCTTACCGGATCCCATACCAAGGTTCCGCGTCATTGTTATTATATCTTTTTTATTTTTGAGGAATTGCTCATCATATGAGAGCTGCTCAAGATTGGAACATTTCTTTCTCTGCGGCCATCCTCTCGCTATTACCGGAATATTTACCTATATGCGTCAGAATTGTCTTTACTACCTCTGTATCTCTGTATTACTAACCTTGCCAGACTAACCCTCAGCACACCCTTAGAGCTATTAACTGGTTTTTAATTCATACTGCAGCTGTATCTAATAGCCTAATAAAACAAATTTCACATCTCACGAAATATAATAACCAAATAAATGACTTATAACCAATTGATTTATAACTTCTAATAATTGTTTTACTTTTATTGAATCTTAAAATATATGTTTACAATGACAAAAGAAAATAATATAGTAAATAAAAAAAACAATTTATTTATGTATCATATATATAAAAAAAAACTATCTTGCAAACAAAATATGCAACATCAACTCTCCATATGAATAAATATATATGTATGTATATATTTAAGTTTTATTGACATAAATTTCATGAACCAAAAACAAAATAAGATATTCTTTCCGTACATCAAATTACTCAAATTTTCTTTTCTTTCATTAGTTCTATTATACGCCCTTTTTTTATATAACTTCTATAAATTTTACACTAGGTACTTAATACTTTCGACGAAATGACGTCACTTCTCGAGTTCCAGGTACCTAGCTAAAAAAAAAACAATTAAGAGAACTTAGGGAAATAAAATACACTCCGTTTCACTTAAATAGCACACTTCACATATTTAATTTCTTTTCTTTATATCTTTTAAACTAATAAAATAAAACTATTTTTTTTTAGATTTTATAGGTAGTGTGATTAATAATCTTTATTATAAAAATAAAAAAACTTGCATTTTTTCAATAATTTTTATATTAAAAGATGACAAACTAAATAAGTATATAAATAGCATAAAAATTTCGTTTCACTTGAATAGCACATTTTTGTTTTTTAAATAAATTTAATTATTTTTTGCACTAGGGACAGTTTATTTATTTATTATTAAGGATTAATTTGTTAAAATTAACATTTAAGTAATGAGTTGAACCTCCCTTGTTTAATATAACCTCATAGATCCTATCGGGAAGTGAATCATACAAAATTTTAATATAATCAAGGGAAATTGTAGCCCATGCTCGTTGAATTGCTTCAATTAGTTCAGTTTTTGTTGAATATTGTTTTCCAGATTCATATACTTTTATAGCCAGCCATCCCCAAACATTTTCTATTATGTTAAGGTCCGGCGAGTATGGTGGCCAGTTCAGAACAGCAACATTTCTGGATTCAATGAACGATTTTACAACACGAGCAGTATGTATTGGGCCGTTGTCTTGTTGGAAAGTCCACGGCAATTGTCCAAAAAGATTCTCTAATGAAGGAAAAGCTTTTTCTAAAACTCCTTGGTACGATTTTGCGTTCATAGTTGTGTTTAAGAATTGGAGTTCACAAGTGCCATAGTAAGATATGGCTCCCCAAACCATAACTCCGCCCATTCTACTGTGTAAACGCACCAACTGATGAGTTTCTTTCCTCAAATCATGAAAATATAAATTGTAACCGTCGGGCCCTTCCAAATTAAACTTTTTCTCATCAGAGAAAACAACGCGATTCCACTGCTTGCTCCATGACATGTTGGCACGGCAAGAAGTCAACTGAGCTTCTTTATGTATAGGGTTAAGTGGTGGCTTTTTTTTAATTTAAGCCATTTTAGATGTTGGGCATTCGAAATAACCCGCCATACGGTAGTTTTACTTGCATTGACACCAGCTTTTAACCTTATTTTGTTAACCGAATCATGCGAATTCGAAGCTTGCCTCAAAATAGCCCGCTTATCTGCATAGCTGAGGACGCTTTTTACACGGCCTTTCATATTTTTTCCATAGTTAAGATCATTTTGAATGAAATTGTATATCACTTTTCTGCTTCTTCCGATTTTTTTTGATATTTGAGTTACAGACAGGTCAGAATCAATGAAGCTTTTTATTTTGACCTGTTCTTCGTTGGTTAAAGCATTACCACGACCCATTATTAATTTAAATCGTCACACTGTATTTAAAACTCACAAATAAATAAAAAAAACTTAATATTGTGGTGAGCTGCTACTCATAAATTAAATTGGAAACCAAATGTGCTATTCAAGTGAAACGAAATACATACTAGTTATTGATGCAAATTCAAAAGAAAATAATGGGAAAATTTAACGGTACATTTCTGTAGTACTAATTTTTTTTGGAGGAGACTACATAAGGAAACAAACAAAAAAACCGAACAATTATTACAACAAAGTCATGAGATCATTGATAGATAAGCAAATAATAATGCAAAAACGAAGTGTGCTATTCAAGTGAAACGGAGTGTATACTAATTTAATGTGAAATTCTATGTACCAAAACTAAGGTAGTTATTTGTGGTAAATAAAATATAAAACTTAAAAAACTAAAAAGTTAAATATATTTTCTCGTATAATCCTTAGCACTTTAATTGTCAACTATTAGATATTCTACTTTTTTGCGTTATTTCTGAGAATGCCAACTTTAATCCTTAACACATTGACTCCCAAATATTAGACATTATATTTTTTACATTACGTTATCTCATAGTATACACAAGCGAAGCAATAGTTTGGATTTTATCCCAGGAACGGGTATACCCTTTGGTATGTTACTTTCCATAGTAGTTCATATGTTACCTCTTATTAGAGTATTGCTATTAGTATTGCTAAACATCCATACTTTCCAAGTACTTATCTCAATTCTTTTCGGTCAGTGTGACATATAATTACATATATTATGATTATATGAGTGTTCTTAGTCACACTTAATATTTTGAATTATTTAGGAGTTTTTTTTTATGAATGTTTGGAACCAATAAATAACTTTAAGATCCAACGATTCACTTTTTTGTCAAATGAAAACAATAATCTGAACTAAAAAAGTTGTATCTGATTAATAAAAAACGAGTATTTGATCACTCAAAATGAAATTTTTTTTATTTACACAGAAAGGAATACGTGTTCGTTTGAAATTGTTGATATATTATAGACACTTGCATTTTAAAGATTTAAACAAACCTTTGTTTGATTTCTCTTTGGAATCATTGTAAAAACCTTTAGGTTTTACAAAAACGTTTGTTAAATGAGTTCACGTTTGATTTCGTTTGACCTCAAAGGAATTCAAGAAATAAACAACATTTGTCAAATTTATCATTTTCTTTGTAATACTTAGAAATAATGTGTGTGGAAAAAGTTGTTACTACTGCCGCTACTGTTATCTATCCACCGTATATTAATTAAAATCTGAATTTTAATTTAGACATATGACCTCTTCCCATAAAACGACAACCATTATTATTTTGACTGACACCTCTCAACATAAACTACCTTCCTTCAACTACTGATTTATAATAAAGGCGCATCAGCAGAGTGGCTCTGTCTTAAGTAATCTAAAACACTTCAAATCACTTTTCATTCCTGCAAATGGTGTCCTGGCTAAGAGCAGATATTAATAAATGTAGCCTGAGCAACATAAAACAAAAAGTATAAATTTCAATAATTAATCATGGTAAATTTCTAGTAGAGAAAAAATCTTTTTAAACTATAATGCAACAGTTTTTCAATCAAAATGAAAAAGGCAAAGGCAAAGGCAAAAAAGTTAAGAAAAATTATTACTAGATACTTTTTTCAATAAGGGAAGAGCATCAGTTTCGCCGCTGTCATAATTTATTGCTAGAGTATAACGTGGATAATAAATGCGTTAAATAAAAATATAATTCAAAAATTTTGTAAAGATAAAAAAGAAAAGATACAAAATTTGACGTGCAGTAAGTATAATATTAATTAACATTACATGCTAATGAAATTTTAATGTGGCGTTTTCTCATAAAAGAAATTATAAACTTGCAATCATGTTTGCCGACAATACGTAAGGAACCTCTACTAGTAAATATGCTCGCTATATACTAAAGTTTATGAGTATTTAAGTAACTGAATACGTTTGCGTATCCCTTGTCAAGTAAGACAACGGCTGACATTTATTATTATATAAATTTTTTTCGTTTTTATTCTGACTACTACTACTGCTGCTTATTAAATGTATTTTTTTCCAAGTCTCCTTTCGTAATGAATAAAGGAATAAAGGCAAGGGAACGCCATCTTCTGGTTTCGCATTATATTTACTTATTTTTTTTTTGTTTTTAATTTTGTCGCTTTATTAATTTTAAAATATTTTCATCGTAAATACACATAAAACAGTAAATTTTAGTCTGTTTATATTGTTTTTGTCTGTTGGTGAACAGTGGCGGCGGCAGCAATGAAATGAGGCATTTTGTATCATGACACCGAATTCTTTACGTTTTAATAATACTAAAACAATGTAGATAATTTACCAAGCAACCACAATGCGTGCTATGCTATTATCGGTGGCACGGCATCCTCAGCATGCAGCAAAAGCAGCAAGTGCTCGCATGCAGCAATATAGCGCATCAATTTATTATGCTCGATGCGGCACAGTGCGCACAATGAGACGCATAACGTATTTAAAAGTGGTGGTCCTGCCTTAAAGATTTTAGAATATTGCTATAAGTACAACATTAATGAGTTTTTTTATTGTTTACTTTTTTGTGGGTTTAAAGTTGAATTCTTTAAAGCAAATAAATGTCTTTTAGCTAACATAATTATAGGAGAATAAGATGTCAACTTATAGACCTATTAGCCTAATGTTGCAACCACTCAAGATATGAGAGAAGTACAAAGAACACTGAGAGAAGTAGTAAACATATAGTAGTTTGGCTTAAGAGAAGGACTTGGAACTCGAGAGACCTTATTTTGTATTCAAGTCCTAATTCAAAACTACAAAGATGTTCAAAAAGATATATTCCACTTTATAAAGGATAAAGATATGCTTTATCGCCTATGAAAAAGCTTTTACCACCGTTAAACATAATAAACTTAGAAAAATTCTTCAATTTTTGAAAATATATGACAAAGAAATTAATTGCATAAGAAAACAAACTCTTTTATTCAACATATACTCAGAAAATATCTTTGAAGTTTCAATCAGTAACATTGATCCGAGTATCAAAGTGAGTGATGTATTTATACAGGTCTACAAGAACTAGTTAACAGAGTTAACTTAACCAGCGAAGAATTTGGACTAGGAATCAATATAAATAAAAGTAAATTTATGATTGTAAGCAGAAAACACGTTTATACTAACACGAATTTAATGATTAACAATATTCCTATCGAAAGAATAACAAACTTCAAGTACCTGAAAACAAAAGCGCTTATAGTAACAACTTTAAGATCCAATAAGTATAGCATTAATTAAAACTCAAAACGGAAAAATGCAATTTTGATATGTCAAAGGACCTTACATTAAATGGATGGTAAAGTAAGCAAAAATATGGATTACAGGCTAATACTCGTAATTCATATTACGATAAGTCTAAGAATCTTTACCCTGAAGCAAATATCTTTTTGTTTCTTTTGTAATGAGAGAATAACAAACTGATATCAGGAGAAAAAACATAATAACGAGATCTAACCCAGAAATTTTTGACTTAGAGTCTATGTGGAGAAAGCAAAAGTGCTTACAATAACAAAAGTACGTCCCTGTAAATACACTACTGAATATAATTTAGCGTAGGATCTTGCCTATAATATTGAAACTATACAAAATGACATTATTAAGAATATTGATCGAAGCCTTGTCCTCCCATAACTTTCATATTACAACATATGTAAGCACGTTATTATACAGAATCTGTATAACAGACAATCTTAACAGAACTAATCGTTCTTGTTCTAATATATGCAGA